ACACAGAGTATCTTATTTGATCTTCATATAGGCCAATTAAATAGGTATTCCAGGTCCCACTGTGCTCATTTTACAGATGAGGAAACCGAGATTCAGAGACTTGTCCGTGGTAACTCAGCTAGTACTATGTGCCAAGCACTGTGCTAAGTTCTTTACAAATATCATCCCATTTTATCCTCACAACTCTGTTGTGCACCCAATGATAGGTGCTATTATTATCCCCATTTTTATACATAGGGAAACTGAGACAGAGGTCAAGTGAATTGCTTAGGGTCACACAGCTAGTAAATGTCTGAGGCCAAATTTGAATTCAGGTCTTCCTGACTCTAGGCCTAATACTCTATCCACTATACCACTGACCTGTCTACTTGATCATGATAGGCTAGAACATTGGGCTGAATTGAATAAAATAAGAAATTTAATAAGGATAAATATAAACGAGCACTTGAGTTTTAAAACTTTACTTCATAAGTATAAGATTGAGGAGATATAACTAGTTGTTTGCACATAATAGATCTGATAGTTTTAAGCCAACAGTATAATAAGGCGGCCAAAAAAGCTAATGCAATATTGAGCTACATTGAGAGGTTCAATTAGTTACCAAGTCTTGTCAGTTCTACCTCTACAACCTCTTTCACATGTGATCCCCTTATTTCCTCTCACATAGCTACCATGCTAGGTCAGGTCTTTATAACTTCTCACCTGGCTTGTTGCAATAGCTTCCAAATTGGTCTTCCTTTCTCGAGTCTGTCTCTTCTGAAATTCAAGGGCTCCCTATTACTTCTAGGCTCAAATACCAACTCTTCTGTTTGGAATTTAAATCCCTTCACAACCTATGCCCCACCTACCTTTCTGCCTTTATGATATGTTGCTCCCCTTCAGGCACTCCACAGTCCAGTTAGACTGATCTTGCTTCTGCTTATCCATGATATTCCCTTTTCTTGACTCTATGTCTTTCCACAAGCTGTTTGCCTTGATTCCTTTAATGCCCAGTTCAACCACCACCACCTATCTGAGGCTAATCCTCCAGGCTGCAAGTGTCTCCCTCTCAAAAAGTTACCTTGGAGTTATTCTGTATATGCTTATGCAACCTGAGATAGAATGTCGGCTCTTTGGGAACAGACCTTTTCATTTTTGTCTTTGTATCCCCAGGGCCTAGCACATTGCCAAGAACCAGTACTTAGTAAATGCTTTTTCATTGATTCAATAGGCAGGTACTAGTGAAAATGTTTGAGTAGGGGAGTGATATGATCAAAGCACTGCATTAAGAAATGTTGATGAGTAGGTTAAAGATGAATTGAGGGAAAAGATTAGGGGCAGGGAGGCCAGTTAGGAGACTTTTACAATAGTACAGTTGGGAAGTGAGTAGAGAAAGGAACAATGATAATGCTTACCCCAAGGTGTACTGATACACTGAGGCACCTATTCCACTATCTATATGCACCTATGGTGGTATAAAAAGTCTAAAGCCAGGCTATGGAGCCTTGAGGAAATAGTGGAGAGTGAAGATACATTAGGTTAAGTGTTTGATTTTTTTTTTAGTTTAAAAGTGAAAGGGAGAAGAAAGATGAAAAATAAGTGAAAAGACTATATAGATGAAGGAAAAGTTGGGGGGGATTGTTCTAAGAGCATTTGTAAGGAAAATAGGAACAGATTTGTGATAAAGAAAAGATGGAAGTTGAGAGAGAAGGAATTGAAGGATTAGGCAAACTCCTGAAGGTGATGGACAAGGATAGGATAAAGAGCACAAAGAGAAGGATTAGACCTGGCTGAGATAGACTCACTTCATCCCCTGAGATCAGAAGTACAGAACAGCATAGATTTAGCATTGGAAGGCACCTCATAAGCTATGGACTTTCAAAGAAGAAAACTGAGGTCCAAAGAGGATGATGATGATAACTAACATTTATATAGTGTTTTAAGGTTTACAAAACTCATTTTATAACTAGTTCATTTTATTATCACAACAACCCTGGGAGACAGGTGATATTATCCTCATTTTATAAATGAGGAAGCTGAAACAGATGTTAAGTGACTTTCTCAAGGGTCACACAGGTAGTAAATGTCTGAGGACAGATCTGAGCTCGTTTTCCCAACTACAGGTACTATACTATACCACCTAGCTGACTAGTTTAAATGATTTGCCTAGTGTCACACAGGTAGTTAATAGAAGAACTGGGATTTAAACCCAGCTCCTCTGAACTCCAAATTTGGTAATCTCTCCATCATATAGTGCTGCCTATGAAAGAAGAGAAACAGATCAAAGACTGAAGGGCTTTGAGGAATTTATCTGAAGGGAAATAAAGGAGTCAGAATTATTTGGCCTCACCTGCAATAAATTAGGAATTCAAGTCATCCACTAAGAAAGAAGTTGGTGGAGTAGAGCTGGAGGTTTGAACAGAAAGGCAAAGTTTGGAATAACCATAGCAAGAGTGTGATAGGAAGCTAGTATTTCAATAGGCTGAAGAATTCCAGATTGTATGTATCCATGTAGGTACATTCCATCCACTGACTGAGACTGAAACTCTTTCATGTCTTCTTATCCTGTATAATTCTTATGAAGGTCTTTCTGTAACTTCTCTGTAAAGGTTCTACCCAACCTACCCGAGTTCTTACTTCAGTCCTATTAATATTTTTTTAATGTCCCAGTGCAGTCCTTCAGTTACCTATATCCCTCCCTCCTGCTGCATAGCCAACACACCTCCTTTTCTATACACAAATATCCATGATGATATATTTTGTTCCATTTCTTGAGTGAGTCACTACTGGTAATACGTTGTAGCCTACTTACACCTACTATATATCTTTCCATTACTCTTTGGGTAACTTGTCATTGAATTCTTCTGATATCTTGATGTTTTATGATTCACAACCATTACTGGGAATATACTGGTATTAAAAATGTGAGTTTTGTGGCAGCAAGTAGCTCAGGATTATTGAAAGCCCTGTGCAGTATCCATACATGCATCTTTCCTGTGTAATTATGGCCCTAGCATGCATATATATTACATGTTATATATGTACATACATACATAGAGGCATATACATATGTATATGCACATACATATATACATATACACACATATACACATATACATACACATACATATACACATATACATATATGCAATACATATACATACATATACATTGAACTGCCTATCCAATTGCTTTTCATAATTTGAGAACAGGCATTCTGCATCTACTTTCCAGTGGACTTTTATCCATGCATCTCCAGTGCACACAAACATTTTTGGGAGGCAAAAGGATAAATAAAAGGATTGCGTTGCAGCAGTAGGGGCCCAGTTGAGGGCTGGGTAACACAAATTTATAGTGGACACATAGTTTCATGAATTCCTCCAGTAGCATTTCTGTATCAGGATTGGAGAAGACAGGCTGATAGAATTATCCAGCACTGGGTAACTGGGAAGGACAAAGGAAGAAGGGACTCAAAGGTGAAGAAAAGTGCATTATTGGAATGTATGGCCACAAGACTATGAAGGGAGGGAAACAAAATTGAAGCAGGGGCGATGGACTAAGAGAACAGAAGGGGATGAAGTGCCTAAAGGCCACAGTGAGGGTGGAGAGCAGATTTAGGAGGGTTGCAGTTGTGGAAGAGTTACAACAAAAGGTTCTGGCCAGAGAGGGGAACTTCAGTTATCCATCACATGCTCTGGTTTTGGCAAGGCCTCACAATAACCCTGTGAAGTCATTACAAATATTATTATCTCTGTTTCAGAGATATAGAAACTAAGGCCCAGAATGGAAGTTAACCCGGGGTTCCAACCAAGGACTCTGGCAGGCTGACATCTTAATTCTTGCCCTAGTCAACCTTAGTTAGTTTCTGGGCTAGACCTCAGATACCTAGATTGTGTCCCAGGGGGGAGGAGGGCAGCAGATCTAGGGTGTAACTAAGAAATAAAAGATTGGAATAAAGATAAACTAGTGGGGAATGATGTCATCTGGGGTACCCCCTTGGGAAGTGAGGTTGTATGAAGTATTTGTAAGGGCTCCCATTTCTGATGTTCACCATATTATTAAGTCTCCACACCTGAAGAAGCCCCACATTCCAAGTCCTCAACCTAAGACTTCCCTTCATCTCCCAGTCTCCCTATTCCAATTCTCCACACCTAAGGGAGCACCATATCTCTAAATTCCACACATTTCAGGAAGATGACTATCCCAATTTTTCAAACCCGAGGGAGCTCCCAAACTCTGGAGTGCCTACACGTGTAAGGACCACATCCCAAGTGCCTATATCTAAAAGGGGCCCACATTCCTAAGTTTGGAGAGATTCCACATTCTAAGCCCCCTTACCTGAGGTTGTCCCCTTACTCTCTGGTTCCCAAGAAGGGGGTACCACATCCCTGATTTCCCCACATTTCAGGGAGTCAAATGTCCTAGATCCCCCAAACTGAGGATGTCTCATGTCTCTTGAGTTTTCATGCCTAAAAGGGTTCTATTTCTGAGGTCCCACACCTGAGGGAGTCCTGTATCCCAGAGTCCCCTTATAGGTCAAAGGCAGAAGGGGTATTAACCCTTAGTGTGGAGGAAGTCACTTAAGATGATGTACAAGGGTCATATTTAGTGCTGAAGATGAGACTCCCAGGTCAATAAATGAAGTTGTCACTGTTTTCTTCCTATATTTTTTAAAAGAAAGACTGAACAGACTTTTTTTTAGAGAACTGGATCAGACAGGGGAATGTTAGTGAGAAAACTCACTGAAGAGACAACTCTTTTCACCCAGGAGCAAGCAGAGGCTTCCAGCCAAAACAACTTTGGGAGCAGAAGGAATGGGGTCATAGGGGAGCTGCCAGGCCCAGCCCTTTTTCTGGGCAGTTTTACAGCTCAGGTTGGGGGAGGAGCTAGAGAGGCAAATATCCTTGCCATCCTGCTTCACCTGGGGATAAAAGCAAGCCCCCCCCCCCATTTTGAATACAGCAAACATGACCTTTAGGAGGATGGAGTGAAACAGTCACAGCTGTAAGTTGTGTTTTTGCTCTTTATCTTGGCCAATGTACAGTTTAATCTAACAATATAACAGTCTAATACCCTTTCCCCCATCCCTGCTGCCCCTGAAACCCTCATCCCTGCTCCCCCACCCTTGCCCATTTAGCTCCTCTTTCTGCCAAGCTGGAAATAGAAAAGGTCACTGTACACTCTTGTGTGTATGTGGAGTCACACCCAATGCTATCTTTCCAGGCAGACCCCAGGAAGCAGCCAGACTTCCCTAGGGGTTCCTGAGACTGAGGTGAAATGTCTGAGACGGAGTCTAGAACTGAGAAAGGACTTCCTGAAGAAAATTAGCTCCTGATATCTCCATACCCTCAAGTCTGTACTTCCTAGGCATAACCTGGAAGCCTGAGCAGCACTGATGCTGGTGCCTCATGAGAGGGATCCTCTGATGCCTGGGAAGTACGCAGATTGGGATGGGACTCCCTCAGATGGGAACATGCCTTCTGGGAAAGATGCTCTTTGGTGAGGGGCTTTCTAGCCAGAGTCATGGAAAGGGAAATTGGAAGAGGCCCTGGAAGTACTACCCTTTCTCCAAGGGCAAAATGAGGCTTAACAAATTGCTCTTAGCTGTGTCTCCCCACCCCATCCATGGTCCTGGGAATTAGGATACCGATGAAAAAATGGAGGCCATGTAACAGTGGCCATGACCATGGAGAAAGGTGGGTGGCTGGAGGGGTGATGCTGCTACCTGCAGCCACAGGACTCCACAACCATGTCCTCATACTGCTTGTAGACCACATTGTTGGCAGAATCAATGAAGAGGATGCTGATAGGACTTAACCTGGTGGGTACACAGCAGGTAGGGGGGGTAGATTCTGGATCCATGGAGTTCATGAGAGTCTGGATGACAGCATGGTTGGTGGGCTCCAGGTGAGATCGAAGGGGAAACTCACAGAGTCCTTCACAGTGGAAGGCCTCATATTCCAGGGGTGCAATGATCCAGTCATCCCAGCCCATGTCCTTGAAATTAACATGCAGTGCCTTGCGACTGCAACGGGCCTTGGGATTCTTGCTGGGTCGCTTGCCCTGACGGGTTGTGAGTGGGGCCCGCCGTTTCCGACGCTGACTAAATAGGTACTCATACACAGTCTTATCATCTTGGCCAGAGCGAGCCTTGATTTCATTAAAGAACAGATCACGTTTCTTAGTGCGGCCAAACACCAGAAACAAGGCCTTCTCGTGGACCTGACGGGCAACTCGGTCAAAGCCCACACCACGTAGGTCCATGACACGGCCTCGATCCCAGGCCTCCAGCTCCAAACACAGCTGAGCTGAGTTCTTAAAATTTCGGAAAAGCTTCCAGATGTCAAACACTTCCCAACGGGGGCTATCCAGACCTGGCACAGAACGTACATCAAGCAAGATACCTGGTTGCCGGCCACTGGGACAGCTAGACAACTTCAGCTGGGCTGGCCGCCCAAGGATAGATGGCTTTGACCCATCTGAGGGCTTTTTCCGCAGTATCCGTAACTCAGCTCCCAACAGCCCATCTTTTTCCAGAGCACTGATATCAAACACATATCTCTGCTTCCTGACTGCAGGACCTCTGTCATCTAGAGAGAAAGAAACAGGGTCATTCTTGATGTTCCTGCAGTCTCTGTAGTGTACAGGAAGAGGCTACTGAAACTAAGAAAACTACTTAATGTTTTCTCCACTAGGACAAGGGCTGGGATCCTACATTCTGAGAGTGTACAAATGAAGAGAACTTACTAAGCAACAAATATCTTAACATGTCCATTGTGGGCATATACATGCAAGCAAGTATATGATGTCCTCTGTGTAAGCACATTCTATATTCAGGGCATGTGTGTATCATGGGAGACAGAGACAGAGAGAATGCATGACTGTATTGAAGCCAATATCCTGTGTGTGAACTGTATGTGCTGTACTCATTGGGTAGATGAATATGTCTTTATAGATGACCATACGATAGAGTTTCAGTATATGTCAGAATGTGTTGTCCTTCCTAAACACCAATTTGCCACCAGGGAGTATTCATATGTTGGCCCAGAAAGTGACTAATTGGACTTTTAAACTCCTCATCTCCCCTCCCTGAGCAACTTCAGTGCTAGGGGACATGGGGACTTACTTTATGAGTCCTGAAGGAATCACAGCTTTCCCTAACTGGGCACACAGCCAGGCTACCTCCCCCACCCCAACCAGGCTTGCTGCCACTGAGCCTGGCTCAGCCTCACCCCCTCCCCCAATATCAAGTGCTTAATGAGTATGTTCTCCTCCTTCCCCAAACTCTCTCCCAGAAAGCACTCAAGAAGAAGTTCTAAGAATCATAGAATTTTAGAAACTCATAGGTGGAAGGACCTTAGAAACCATCTAGTACAACCCCCTTATTTTTTTATATGGAGACAAAGTGAGACCCAAAAAGTAAGTCACTTGTAAAAGATCACAAGAGAGTTAAGTGGCCAGAATGAAACAGAAGACTTTTGAGCACTACAGTTGCAAAAAGTGAGGAGAGCCTATGTTCTCCTGGGTTGTATTATAAAAGTAACAAACCATTTAGCTTTGTTTAGGACAGGAGTACTCATTGATGATATTCTTCTCCCACCCCATCCCCCAGCCGAAATCCCACCTCCTCTGCAATGAATCCCCTGTTCCCCTCAATATTCCCAACACTCACCTCTGATCTAGCTTCATCTAGAACTAAGGGAGGAGAATCCACGAAAATGAAGAACAAGGAACTGAGAAACAGGACACCTGGGTTCTCATCCCAGCTCATGCAACCAATTCACTGTGACCTTCAGCAAGTCTCTCGCCCTGTCTGAACCTCAGTTTTCTCCTCTGTAAACTCACGGACCTAGACTGGATGAACCTTAAGGTCCCTTCCTGCTCTGACGTCCTACAATTAGATGTCCTAATGCATGTAGCCCAAACAACCAGATGCACAATACAAGAGGTAACCTCTGGCATGTGTAACTGGTGCACTGGGAGATAAATACACTCCCCTAGACATCCCTCCTTGACCTGGGGTCAGCATTGCCTCTCACCTTGCCCTTTGTCTATGAAGCTGGTGATGGTGTTGGCCAGCCCAGCTTCCAGCTTCACGCTGCCATTGACTCCCTTCCTATCAGCATCCGATAGCGTCCTGTACAGGGAGAGCATGTATTCATGGGGCGTGACTGGGGGCGGTCGGAATGGTTCCTTGGGCTCGCTTGGGGGCCCCGGCTCCTTGGCCTTTTTCAGTAGGAAGGTACTGGAACTGGGGCCACCCTTTGGAGGAACCTTGGCACCAGGGTGCTGCCCTTTGGGGGTCACAGTCCGAGCTCCAGCCTGCCTTGCCTGGGGGAATTCTGGCTTGGGCTCAGGACCTCCGGATCTCGAGGGCATCTTTTTGGGCTGATCCTTCTTGGGTAGTAGGCCTCCAGCTTGGCTGGCGCTGCCCTTTGCCCTGGCATTAGTGGCTGCCCCATTGAAGCCATGTCCCCCCGGCCTGAAGCTGCCTCTGGCCGGGGGGGAACGCTCCTTGGCTTCTGCCTTGGCCAATCCCGGTCTGGACCCTGAGGTTCTCTGTGCCAGGTCTGGGGCACTCAGAACAGTGCTGATAAGATCTAGGTCCAACCAAGTCAGGTGCCAGAGCAAGAAAGCGAGGAGTCTTGGGAGTTTCATCCTCTAACCTGCCGCTGAATGGCACCAAAGAGAACAGCGGCGAAGGTACCTCTGGTTTGGCAGGAGAAACCATGAAAGGAACGAAACCTCAAAGGCAACAGCAGCAGCGGCAGCGGCAGCGACAGCGGCGGCAGCAGCAGCAGCAGCGGGAAGGGCTTTCTCCTCAGTCTGAGACTCTTTAAATCTGCCTCTTGCGCGTCTGTATCCAGTCCCATAGTGGAAATGCTCTTGTATCCAGACGTGCGCCCGTCTTCAGTCAGCAGCTGAAAATAACTCGTTCTTGAAAGAAGAAAGCCGACCGCCCCTTTTCTCCTGCAGGACTGACGGAGGGTTTGAAGGAGGCTTGTTTTAAGTCTGAGGGTTTTTTCCAAGAAGGAAGAATGGCGTAATGCTGCCTCTGGGCTCCAGTTTTTTTTTTTAAGTTTTGAATCCCTTCCAGTGAAAATATTTCACACACACACACACACACACACACACACACACACACACACACACACACGCCTGCAGGTGCTCAGTGGAAAAAAAAATCTTTTACAAACCTGAACTCAGGAATTGGAAACGGAATTCCAACAAAAACCAATTTAATTACTCTCTGATGTCATGCTGTCTAAACTAATTTAAGTACGATATATTTATGTGAAAGAAAAAAAAAAGTCGTCTCTGCCCTTTCACGGACTGTGACTCACACGGGATTGGGGATGGGGGGTGGGGGCGGCTCAGTGGGACCCTCATGCCCAGGGGCTGCCCTGGAGCCTTGGGAGGAGCTCGGGGCCTCCGCCTCCGGTGTGCAGAGCCAGCCCCTTCCAGAGGAGAAAGCAATTCACGGGTCTTAAGCCACACCACCAAGGGGAGGGGGCGGCGGGTTGTGGGGAGGGGGGGGCGGGTCTGGGTTTTCAAAGTCAAGTCCTTGGAGTGTTTTTAAAGTAGTTACAACCCAGCCTCTGAGTTGGGGCCTAACGGAGGGGGCACGTAACAGAGTCAGCAGTATTTACCAACTGCTCCTTTTATTTTAATAAACTTTCGGTGACCTGGAGACAGGTATGCCCTCTTCTACCGCACAAGAAAGAGCTTAGAAGATGCTCAGGCCCCAGAATATCACCCTGTGCATGTCACCCCTTCAGATCCCACTCCCGCAGGGTAGATAGGTGGAGATGGTTTGCAGAGGCCGCTCCAAAGTTCCTATCAGTTAGCGGACTTGACAGCCCTTCATTAGGGATCGGGATTTGCCCAGTCCTGGAGCAGCAGTGACCCCTGCAGGACAAGGGAAACTTTCACCACGTAATCTGAGGTGCCTCTCACCATTCTGGAGACATTTATGGGAGAATTATGGGGGAAAATGCCAAATCGAAAACCAGGCACTTTCCTGGAAGCTGAAGCCGATGCTGAGCAGGACATTGTAGTCTGGCAGGGGAGGAAAGCTTAATGAAGAAGATAAGGTTTTAGTCCAGGTGTAATAATAATAATAATGACAAGGTAATAATGGCTCTCTAAGGTTTGTAAAGCATCCTTTACAAACATCAGCTTACCTTATCTTCACAATCTGAAGAGGTAGGTGCTATTATTATCTCCATTTTACAGATGTGGGAAATGAGGCAGGTAGAGGTTGCCCAGACTTGCCCAGGGTCACACAAGTAGTCAGTGTGTGATACTGAATTTGAACTTGGTTTTCCCGACTTCAGGCCCATCACTCTAGCCACTGAAACCATCTAGCTGCAGGTGTGGGTGTGCATGGTTTGTCACATTACAATAGCTCTTATCCAGATCCTTCAAGCTGCTGAGATCTGGGAGCCTACAACTATGGAGTATATTGCCCTTATTGTTCCAGGAATAAGGGGACAGTAGAAATCAACGAGCTGAAACTTTACCAACAAGAAATCAGTAGGTTAGGAATTAATTGATCTTAGAAAGCTATACAGAGCCAGCTGTAGCTCAAGCTTCTTGGTTTTTGGACAGAGGAAGTGAAGGCCGAAGGAGAAATAAGTCTAGGAAAGAAAAGAAGAATGATTCTACTCATACCAACCTAATTTCAAGTTGTCCTCGGAGAAATGAGTCTTTCACTGCCATTGCCATTAAGATCCAGGACCTGGGGCAGCTAGGTGGTGCAGTGGATAGAGCGCCAGCCCTGAAGTTAGGAGGACCTGAGTTCAAATAGGGACTCACACTTGACACTTACTAGCTGTGGGCAAGTCACTTAACCCCCAATTGCCTAAAAAAAAAAAAGATCCAGGATCTAAGCTTCTATTAAATCCTCAGGTTTAGGAAAAGCAAAACCTTAGCTCTGGGAATACCCAGTGCTCACTGGTCTGGCTATTGAATTGAACATCAGAAGACCTGGGCCCTAAAAGCAAGGCTTAATGATATGACATTTGCCCTAGCCCTTGGTACCAAATGGGGCCAATGAGCTGTAAAGCCATGGAACAAGACTGTGGAGTAAGGGAGATGTCAGGACAAAGAGTGCAGGAAATCCATAGTAGAAAATCGAAGTTGAGAAGGTTGTAAGAGAACTCATAGCTCACTGTATTCTGCTGTGAGACAATCTTCTCACCCTCTACAACACACTGGGATCCTGGAGACATTGAACACCCTCAAAACATAGGACATTATCAGTGGGGAGGGGGCTTTCAGGCATGGGGAGGGGGAGAGAGGGAAAGGCCTGGGGACAGGGTGGGAGGCACTCTCAGGGGAAATGCCCAAGGGACACATTTGGCTCTTACTAAAAAGGTGACTAATCACTTCTGTCCCCTTTGGTAATTGCAACCAGATGCTGCCTCTGGCAGTGCCGACATCTTTAATTACTGGGACCCAGAGCCCTGGTCCCCCCTCCCTCCCCCTACGTCTCCCTTATATGTCAACAATATTAATGTCTAACTCTAGGCAGAGCATGGGAGCCTTGGGAAGCAGTCACTCTGTCTGAAATGCAAGGCGTGAAAATAATAGCAAGTTCTTACATTTGGTTTTTCTATTAATAAATTTTGTCTTAAAGCAGACAACAAAAACAAACAAAATAAAACATAAAAGCCTTGCAAAAAGTTAATCAAAACAACACAAAAATCTGATTGCAAATGTTTGTACTTGCAAGTGTTTGCTTTTATTATTTGTCTGTTAAAAGAAAAGAAGGTGGTGTTTTAACAAGGCAGTACCACCATTCCCACTGTATTAAACCTCAGCTTTATTGCTATTTAACACTGTCTTCCACTTAGATAGCTACCATCAGTGAATATGTTGTTCTTTTGCAAACTCTTATAGTTGTAGAAAGCTTTTCATTTCATAAAACATTCCCTATTTATTATTTCATTTGAATCTCACTTTATCCCATGAATTAGGAAGGGCAGGGATTATCATGCTCATTTTACATAGGAGGAAACAGAGGCTATAACTTCACCCTGCAAGTTGGGGGGGGGGGAAACAGATTAGAATCCCTCACCTGACTCCCCAGCCTGGTCCTCTTTCTATCTTTGAGGCATAAGGTGAACCTAGCATTGAAAATTTATTAAAAGCCTACCAGGGTAGCCAGCTAGAAAGAGCCCCTGATTTATACCCTAACTCCATTAAGGTGCTTCTGCCCTCATCAATTTATTTTAGATTAGCATAAGCTAGACACTCCTGGAATAGAAAACATGACCTTTAAGAGATTCAGATAATCTATCGATCAACAAGTATTTATTAATAATTGTTATTGACATTTATATAGTGTTTTAAAGTTTGTAAAGCATTTTCATATATTATCTCATTTGAGCCTCAACAACATTGTTAGGTGGGTACTATTATTCCCATTTTAAAGATAAGAAAATTGAGGCTCAGAAAGGTAGTGTCTGGTCCATGGCCTTATAGCTAGTTAATGTCAGAGGAAGGACTTGAATCTATTTTTCTGACTTCAAATCCAACACTATCCTATGAGATTTCACATTTTCTGATTGATCAGCCCTTTGCACACAGGTTTGTGCAACAGAAAATTAATGTAACTAGTTGTTGCTCTTAAAGAGTTTACAATCATTTCAGCAAAGCTACAGAATATAAAATAACCCACATACATCATCAGCATTTCTATGTAGTACCAACAAAACCTAGCAGCAACAGATAGAAAAAGAAATTTCATTTAAAAAAACCACAGACAATATAAAACACTTGGGAGTCTACCTGTCAAGACAAACCCAGGGATTACATGAACACAATTAGGAAACATTTTTCACAAAAATAAAGACAGATTTAATCTGGAGAAATATTAATTGTTCATGGATAGGCTGAGCCAATATAATAAAAATGACAATTCTGTCCAAGTTAATTTACTTATTCAGTGCTATGCCAATCAAACTACCAAAAATTATTTTATAGAGCTAGAAAAAAATAATAACAAAATTCAGCTGGAAGAACAAAAGATCAAGAATATCCAGGGAATCAATGAAAAAAAATTACAAAGGAAGGTGGCCTAGCAGTTTCAGATTTCAAACTATATGAAATTGCCAAGTGGTAATCATTAAAACAATACTGGCTAAGAAATAGAATGGTGTATCTGTGGAATAGATTTGACACACAATACATAATAGTAAATGGTCATAGTAATCTAGTGTTTGATAAATCCAAAGATCCAAGCTTTTGGGGTAAAAACTCAACATTTAACAAAAATTGCTGGGCAAACTGGAAAGCAGCTGGGCAGTATAGACCAACATCTCACACTTGTTAACCCCCAAACCGGTTTGTTCTAAGAAAAACAAACAAAATTAGGCTATGTGTCCACATTTTTATTTCTCTCACAAGCTGGTGACACGCATTGCATGGGAGTTACAGTTCAGAACTGAACCCCGCCTAAGCAGGCCAGGCCAGAACTGGCCCAATTTGGGATTTAAGGGTACAGGGTTACATACCCTTCAAAGAGTAGGTGTTCCCAAGGGGTGTCAATCTGATTAGTCAACACACTGGGAGGTGGGCTATATTAAAATGACAGTCTTTGAGTACTGTGATTTAAGTCACTTAATCCTGGTACAATACCGTTTCAATAGAGGCTGATATCATCCCACCATCGTTCTACCTCTAGACAGAGTAAATATCTGTTCTGTCAGACCACCCCCCAACCAGACCACTCTCAGCCTTGGGCTGTCTACGAAGAAGAACCTGTTTTCTACCCAGGCCTGAGCAGATTA